GCATCCTGCCTACCTCGGAGAGCCTTCAGGCTCCGTAGGTCCCTCCCTTCACGGAGTAGTCAGGGGGCACTCCAGAATCATGTCTTCCCACTGACACACCCAGAGACATCAGAACTGAGCCCCATTTTTCTCTAACAGAAAAGTCTTGGGGAGGTGTCTCATTGGCCTGGACCAGGTCAGATGACCACCCTGGAGGCATGCACCTGTTTGTTGACCTAGGTTAGGCGATTTATCCCAACAGCCAGAAAGACAGGCAGGATATCATCATTTGGCCATTTTCCAAAAGGAAAGTCCAGTCTACTTGCCACAGGTGAGGGGACAGGATTCATACAGCCAAAAGCTCTGGGTGCACCCGTAAACTGAACAATTCTAATTCTTGCCTGCATCTCCAACCCTGAGGCAGGCTGACCCCGGAGGTCTCTTTCCCTATACCAGCCTTTACATAAAGCACTGTGGGTCAAACTGGAAAAAGAAGCAAGGGAAAGATTGAGTCTGGGAAATCCACTGGGCCAGTTGTGACCAAGGCAGCCATGAGAAGACACGCCGTCCAAGTGCACCGCAAACATGGCGCATTCAAGGTGGGAAATGGAAACACCGCGTCAGAAACTTCCCACAAAAGTAGCTGTTCCCCAAGCCTATCATAAAGATTGGAGACATTTAGAAACGACATTTCTTAAAGAAACAAAATACAGCGAAGAAAACACAAACAAATCCAGGGAGGACAACCAAATCTAGAAAATCAAATGACTTGGTGAGGACCACAAAGCTGGTCGATGGCAAGACGGGCAGGAAGTGCACCACCAACTGGCCATGGTCTTACCAGGACTTGGCACAGCCTGTGCACATATAAGGACCTGAGCACTTGGGATCTGATCAACTCTAAATGTTGATGAAGTCGAAGTGCATGCAGTCATATCTTCACTAGTTCATGAGAAGAGAATGGAAGATCCTCACTGGGTGGGTGTGTGTATATAGGACACACGAGGAGAGATGCACACAGCTTCGTTCTTTTCCTCTTTGCTCTTTTAAAAAATGCCCCTTTAAAAATTCCCCACTCACCATCTGTTGGGTAAGTTTCCTACAAGGCAGCAAGTATGCAGGCAGAGACTGTTAGAGAGATTATTCCAAATGGCAGGGACACCTATATTTATGCAATTGGCAAAAGAGTAGGTTAGAGTTGCTTTTTTACTTTAATTTCCTCCCTATAGTAATAATCACACTGCCCCATGAGCCGAGTTCCATCTGATTACATAAGATGAAGGGGACGGGGGAAAGAGAAAAAAACAATGAAGAGAGGAAAAACCCAGGTACTCATGTATAAACATTGCCCCAATAGTTAGAGATTACATCCAAGGCTCAACAAAAAGAGGCAAACATTGACAAGTGTGCAAATATCTGTACAAATGTGCGGGATAAAGTCCATGGGCTCAGACTGGCATGGTGCCCCAATAAGGGTGGAGCAAACCCTTTTCCCTCAAGCTGCTTTTAGGGAAATAAACAAGTGACACAGATGCTATGGAGTCCCCAGTCTAGGGCTGGAACCACATCAGTGCCCATGAAACACAGCTCATTCCAAGTCAGGATGGAGAAGAGTAATTTATACTCTCAGAGTGTTTGCTCTCAAATCAATAACAGAAACCTTGAATAAAAACATTCCCATCACTTTCCACCATAATACATCTTACTTACGGTCCATAAAACAGTGGCCAGGGTACATGATTAATCCTTTGGCCACTATATTATATAACCTCTCCACATTAAGCCATCCTCATGCTGTGGTTGTTTTTTAAAAATATGTTACTCTTAATAATCTATGCTTAATCTCTCTTCGCATTAGGAGAGCATTATTTTGCACAGGCTCAGAAGCCAATCTCCAGAAACTGCCCCCTGATGCTTCTGTGCGGCTGGAAACCCGGTGCAGGGAAGCTGCAGTGATTGGATTCTCGTTGGCAGATCCCCGGCCACCCACTAATTTCATCAGCCTCAAATTCCTGGATTGGAGAGACCCAATGGCTGTGTGTGACTCTTAGGCCGTTTAGGAACCGACTCTGTGTGTGCATAGAGGAGACTGGGCTCGCTCAGCTCCTTTCTTTGACCTGGAACCCGCAGGAGGGCAGGAACTCCAACTCCCAGCCACTGTTCCCACCTGAGCAGTGACTCCTGCCCGGGTCTGATCGCTAGGGAGGAACTTCATCCCAGACTCTGCAGACAGGAGCAGCATCTCCTATCCTCTTTCTCCCCGCTGCCCCCAGCACAAAGTACCCCCCTACACACACACACACACACACGCACACACACACACGTAAGACCCTAAGACTTCCCTCCCCAGGCTAGACCCTTATCTTACCCTTGAGTTACAGCTCAAGTTACAGCTGGGTCTGGTTCCCTGCAGTAACCCACAGGGCTCCCAGGGACAAGGAAACCTGGCTTTCCGGAGGAGCCAGCCACTCAATCACTTGCAGAAGTTTCTTTACTGGAGGATACACTCAATTGGGCTGAACCCCGAAATCCCAGACAGGGTTCACCACGGTCCTCTTCCAGCTCCCCCGCCCGACAGATGTGTTTCAGAACAATACATAGATGTGCCACTTTCCTTTCCACTCATTATGCAGGTACCAAGGCTCAGGAATGGGGGTCTGGAATTGCATGCCAGGAGCAAATAAGAAGGCATGCAAACAAACAAACAAACAAATCCACGCCACTGGAAGGAGCCCAGGTAGATATTCCTGCATGGGCAGTGGTTGGCCAGGATGCCACACCAGTAGCGATGGCCAGCTTGCAGCACCAGCTACAAGTTGTTGCCTTCCTCCTCCTCCCAGCCTCTTCCCTGTCAATGCAGGTGAGAGCCAGGCTCCTCTGCCTCCGCTCTTGAATCCAGCATGCATATAGCTGCAACTGGCAAATCAGAGGAAAAAGGCAGTGTTTCCTCTGAATGGCTTTTGTCCCGGCAAACCAGGATAGCACCAGCATCAGGGTCCTTTCGCCCGTAGACCAGGGAAGGAGGGAATTGAGTGTGAGGCCAGCTGCCTTCTTTTTATGTAATTTTTTCCCCTTGCGAGTTGCCTCAGGTTCACACACCAGACACCAGAGAAGGAACCAGCTCCCCCTGGAATCCTCTTCGGCAAGCACAGTCCCTCAGCCCTTCCTCCTCCCAGCATCTCGCTCCGCCAGGCAGGCCCATCTGTAGCAAGGCCCCTGCTCCCAGAGAAGAGAGGAGCAGGCAGAAAAGCCGTCTCCCAGCACTGAACACAGAATGTGGCTCAAGCCCTGGGCCTAGGGGCAAGCCTGCCCCCAGCTCCTTTCAGGGGGTGTCTGACATCCCCTCTCCCCAACTCAGCCCCCTCAACTTGCCAGGCTGTGAGATCAGAGGTGAAGAACCTGCTTCTGGGGTGTGACTACCCGCAATCCAGGGTTTTTGTAAAAGCGAGCAATGCAGGGTGACCGCCACCCTCAAAGCACTTTGGGGGACACCTAGGCGTTTCCAGGCTGGCACCCTAAGGGGGAATCAGGGATGCTCGCACAGACCATGGTGTGTGTGTGGGGGGGGGGGCATGCCAGACTGCAACCTTCCCCTGGTGCCCCGGCTTTCCGAAGGCAAACTTCTGGAGGTGACTCGGCGACACCCCAGGCCACACGCGGAGTCCCCTCCTGACACCCAGTACCCCTGGAGAACGCACTCTGGAGGAAGGTGCTTCTTCACCCCGTGGAGTGCCGACGAGGGTCAGCCAGCGCATCTCTGGAAGGGATGTGCCGGCCTCAGGCGCCACCAGCCAGGGAGAGAGCCGCGCCTTGGGAGGCTTCTTACATCGAGACCCAGAGGAACCAAGAACTTGGGAGTGGGGAAAGAGAAGGCAGGCAGGGACCGAAGGGAGGGAAGACAGGGAAGCAGGCAAAACGAGGAGTCAGACTCAAGGGAACCCACAGTCCCAGAGCCCCTGGACACAGATGTCTGAAGCCTAAAGCCATCCGTTTGGAGCCAATGCAGCACCGGAGCGGCGGGGCACAGGCTGCCGGGGAGCGCTAGGCGAGAGCACTGCGGTAGAGCCCACCGCTCAGCGGCCTGGAGCCGCCTTCCCCTCGCTTTTGCGCTGCTGTTGTCGCCCACAGCACCGGGAGAGGCGGGCCCCGCGGGCCCTGCTCCGTGCGCCCACCACCCAGGCGCCTGTGTGCCTCGGTGCCCAGCCGCGGGGCTGGGGGCTGCGCGCTGTGGAAGGCGGGTGGTGGGCGAGGGGTGGGAGCGGCAGGCGGCGAGGACGAGCTTGTCTCGCAGTTGGCATGAGCTCATCTCTGGGCCGAGGTCTGAAGTGTGGGGAGGCGAAGGCTGAGCGCCCGGCTCCCGCCGCCTGCCGGGCTGCCAGTGCGACTGAGACGGCGCAGAGCAGCGCCCACAGCAAACCCACCGCGGGCGGGTCCCCCCACGCCTCTCTCCCCACCACAGGTCGGGGAATCCCACCCGAGGGAGGGAGACGGGCAGGGGGCAGTCCCCGCTGGGTGAAGCTGCGCCCCGCGTTCACAAAGTGCTGCCTCCAGGTCTTCTCCCGATTTTCCAGGGGCAGTGCAGGGTCCCCAGGTGGGTCGGGGGTGGGAGCGGGGGAGGAGGCAAATGCCAGGCTCGGGTGCATCTTCTGGTATTCCAGGCGCCGACCTGCCTGCCCAGGAGCCCAGCGCGTCCCCAAGCCCGTGTTCGGACCGTAATTCACTCTAAATGCAAACCCATTTAAATCATCGCCTTGCTTTTCGCAGATTGCTTCTTGCAAATGGGGCCGTAAATCCCGGTGTCGGGCTGGATGGAGTGGAATATGGACAGGGGAGCGAGGGGAAGAGGACGGAGGGGGGAGACCGCGAGCCGGGAAGGTCTCTCCTCGGGCGGCATCTGCGCCGCGGAGGCGCGCGGGGGGCTGACCTGGTCCCGTGCCCCCGGGGGTTCCAGGCAGCTTTTAGCGCTAAGCGCCGCAGGGAGCCCCCGCGCGCTCCTCCCCGGAGGGAGCGCCCCCCCCTACCTGGAAAAGCCTCAGGATGTTGGCTACCATGATGGACACCGAACTCCCCGAAGCCCCAATCACTCCGACTACTTTCTCGGGTTTGACGAACACCGGGGGCTCGCCGTTGGTGCAGCGCACGTCGGAGGTGTCCTTTTGGATGAGCGCCTGGACGAAAGTGAGCGACTGCTCCAGCGCGTAAGTGTCCCTGGAACAAGTGTCCAGGATCCGCGCGCCCAGCGTCACGTTGGGCAGCAGGCTGGGATCGCTGTTGATCTGGTCCAGGGCGTAGAGCATCGCCTCCAGCCTGTGGATCCCGTTCTCCCTCTTGATGTCGCCGCAGGGCACTCCGCTGGGACCCTTGGCGTGCACGGGGAACAGCCCCCCGAGGGTGACGTCCCCCTCGATCCGGATCGAGTGCGGGGCGTACATCTCCTGGCCGCGCGCCGCCGCCGCCAGCGCGCACAGGAGCACCTCCAGCACGCAGCAGGGGAACTCCATCCGAGTCAGGACGCCCAACAGCTTGCCCAGCCGGACCATGCTGCCCGGGCTGCGGCTGCGGCGGCGGCGCTGGAGGGGACCGTGGCGGGCGCGCCGAGCTCTGGGCCCCTCGGGGTGCGCGGCTCCGGGGAAGCCCAGGGGTGCCCGCAGGCGCGCGGCACGGGGGCGCCCAGGGAGGGGCGGCCGGCGAGGCTCGGGGGTCCCGCGGCGCCTGCCAGCCTGGGGCACCTGGCGCTCTCGGGGTCGCTGGCCAGCGCGCCGCGCTCGCTCCCCGGCTGGCCGCTCGCGCTCTCCGACAGCCCGGCTCTGGGAGAGGGCAGGGATTGCTATCGCTTTAAATGGTCGCTCGGCTCCCTCTCCTCCTCCTCCCACTCCTCCCTCCCTCGCCGCGCGGCTCCGCTCCCACCCTGCCCGGCGCGCGCCCTCCCCACTGGCTTGCATCATCACGCAGGGAGGGGCTGCGTGTCGGGGCGGGGGTGCGAGTGGGCGGTCGGGGAGGGCGGGTTGCCTCGGAACACGCGAGTCGCGAGGTCCTTGGGGAATCTGGGGATTGCGGGTCGCGGGCTAGGGCGGAGCGCGGGCCCCCGACTCCCCGTGGGAGCCCCGCGCGCGGTCCGGGCAGGAGAGGCCTCAGCCCCGGAAAGCGTCGGAGATATCTGGCGCTGGCAGCTCCCGGCCCCAGGGTCCGGAGCCTGGCCCTTAGCTCCTGGGAGCCGCGAGGGTGGCGCGAGGCAGACAGAGGGCGCGAAGGAGGCGCGTGGGGTCCCCGAGCCTCCCGTGTTCTGTTTTCCTGGGGACCATGCGCAGACCCCAGGATCTCCATTCGCGACCTAAAGAACTGGACCCAAAGACTTCCCCAGAAGGGCGCCAGGCCGGCCTTGGAGAGAAGTAGAAACGGGGAGAGGCAAGGGTAGGCGGGGAATCTCTCCGGCGCCGCGCCGCTGGGGAGCCAGCCGCCAAACTGCGCGCGCGGTCCTCGGCAGCAGGTCTGTGCCCGGAGCTGGAGCTAGGGTGCGCCTGGTGCCTCGCCTGCCTTCCACGGCGAGAGATGGAAGACTTGGCAAGTGTGCAAGCGCGCTAGCTCTCCAGTGCTGACAGGTGCAAGGCTGCCTCCTTACCCATTCCCAGGCGCTCTCTGCGCTGGTGACAGCCGGACAGAGGTGAGGGTAGGAGGAAGGAGGAGCGCACGGAGACTTCTCCCAGCTTATGGCTGGGGCCAGGGTGGGGGGCAGAGTCCCGAGCCCAAGAAGGCTGCCGTACCAAGACGACGTTGTTTTTGGAAAGCACTCCCTCCTGCGTGCTCAGGCCAAGCAGGGCTGGCTTAATGCAACAAGTGGCCCTGGTGCCTATATAAGGAAATTCAAGATGTCTGTCTGTGGGGGAACTGAGGAGATAGGCTGTAGTCCTGGGGAAGCTGTCTCCTAGAGCCCACCCAAACCGTCTTGCAAACAGCGATCCGGGAGAGAAAACCAGAAACAAGACTGTACCGTACCTTCTTGGTGACGTCACAAAGAAACCACCCCTGTACCAAAAAATAAGTCAAGAATAGGGACTGGTGGAGTTGGCCACCAGCTACCAGCAGGTCCTTGGCACTGCTGGTTCCCTGTCTGGGTCTTAAGTTCCTCCATGTGGAAAATGAGCAGACCGAATGGGATGCTTTCCAACCTATTTTTCACCTCTCAATTCCTCTGTTAAAATATTCCATGTCCCTTAGGCCACCCTGCTGTTTTTAGACCAACAATCTCTGGTGGGTTACATGGAGGAAACCACACTTTGGGTCATCCACATTTCACTTCAAATATTTCCTGATGCAAAGCACTTTTTCACCTCTGTTTTTTCTTGCCCGGCATCTGTTCGTCTTCCTTTGGGGCACCATCCTTCCATTTCTATTCTGACATTTCCATGCTTGTGGTTTGACAACTGACCCCTCTTCTGAGATCCAAACCGGACTAATGAGAGCCTCAAATCTTTCGGCTGAACCACTGAGTGTGAGATGGGGCAAAGAGGTCAACCAGAGTCCATGAGAACCCTGGACTTCTGCTGGGAGAGTCCACACAGGGCATAGGGCAACACGTGAGAAATGCTTGGTTTGTTTGTTGGAAATGGTGGTGCTTTTTGACCTTGTAAGAACGAGATGTTTGACTGTCCTCTTCCAAAACCTATGCGATAATTCCTATGCAGATCTACCCTTGACCACAGTGTGAATAACAGCCTTCCTCACATTTGATGCAGTAAGACATACATGCGCCGGCGCCGCGGCTCAATAGGCTAATCCTCCACCTTGCAGCACCAGCACACCGGGTTCTAGTCCCGGTCGGGGCGCTGGATTCTGTCCCGGTTGCCTCTCTTCCAGTCCAACTCTCTGCTGTGGCCAGGGAGTTCAGTGGAGGATGGCCCAAGTCCTTGGGCCCTGCACCCCATGGGAGACCAGGAGAAGCACCTGGCTCCTGCTATCGGATCAGTGCAGTGTGCCGGCCGTGGCGGCCATTGGAGGGTGAACCAAGGGCAAAGGAAGACCTTTCTCTCTGTCTCTCTCTCTCACTGTCCACTCTGCCTGTCAAAAAAAAAAAAAAAAGACATACATGCACAGCGTACACTGGCCGATGCCTCGATGGCCATGCTCCTTCCTGCCAGACCTGTAGCCACAGAACCCTGTAGCTTTGCCAGGGGCTTCCACGTGAGCTGGGAGATACTCAAAACTCAGGGAGAAAGAGGGAGAGAGGGAGAAAAAGAGAGGGAGAGGGAGAAGGAGGAGGAGGAGGGGAGTGGAGAGAAAGGCAGAGGAGAAGAGAGGGCTGGGTGAGAGAGAGGAGAGGGGAAGGGAGAGGAGACAAGACAAGAGGAAAAGTGAGAGAGAGACAGAGACAGAGTGAGGCAGGCTTGATGAGGACCTTTGTGCTCCCAGACCCTGTGGAGCAGCTGAAGCGGAGAGCCACAAGTGGCATCAGCTAATTTAGTAGTGACAGCCCAGAAAGCAGTGCAAAGGATTGTGGCAAACAAGGGACTGCAGTTCTAGTGCTTAAGCCTCAGGACCTCAGTCCATCTAGGAAGAGACTCTGTCCCTAGTGAGTTCGTAATTTCAGCTACTCATTAGGAATTTGAGGACAAAAATGTTCGACAAGGTGGCTAGAAAGTCGTGCCACCTGACTCCTCACCCGTGCGTGCCTCCAGCCCTGTCCCATTTTCGGCAACTGCTCGGTAAAGACTCCTCGGTTGGCTGCAGAAGGGTGCACTTCACTCTGCTCCTTCTCCCCACACATCTGGCCATGGTCACTATCTCCCTTGCACTGCAGGCATCTGTAAGCTCCTTGAGGGTAAGAGCCGGGTATTCCTGCTGTTTCTCTCCGAGACGATGTTTTGAACTGCGTGTTGCGGCTCGGGAGCAATCATCTGTTGAATGAATCCGAACTCGCTCTGTCACTCTGCACAGCTTTTATTTGACAGTGACCTGAACTACAAGTGGGCAGAGCGGCAGCACAGGCAGATAAGTTGCTGTGCTCTTGTTTGGTCACCATAGACCATGTCTAGAACTTAAAGGATATGTAGTCGATTGTGAGACAATTCTGTTTGGAAAAATAATCTAAGACTGAAGCACTTAATGCACTTTGATTAATGCATGGAAAGTTCAGATTGCTGCTCCCAGAGCCAGTGGCTCACACCCTGACCAGTCACTGTGATTGTTGGCCATAGGCTGGCTGGGGGAGGCTGCACACTTAGACCCATTTTTCTGGCCAGACACTAGTGCCACCTGAACCACACGGCAAGAGAAGCTGGCAAATGACCCTCAGCTTATATAATCAATATATATCCTGTACCCATGGTATTTCAGTTCTCTTGATACCTGTAGACACAGGACATAGGAAATGGCCCATCACAGAGGATGGTGTGTGTGTGTATTGGGAATACCAACTGAAAATCTTTATGTAAGACTGGTTCATATAAAACTGGGCCAGTTGGGATCGGCGCTATGGCATAGCAGGTAAAGTCACCTCTTGCAGTGCCGGCATCCCATATGGGCACTGGTTCAAGTCCCGACTATTCCACTTCCAATCCAGCTCTCTGCTATGGCCTGGGAAAGCAGAAGATGGCCCAAGTCCTTGGGGCCCTGCACCCACGTGGGAGACCCAGAAGAAGCTCCTGGCTTCTGGCTTCGGATCGGTGCAGTTCTGGCTGTTGCAGCCACTTGGGGAGTGAATCAGTGGACAGAAGACAACTTTTTCTCTCTGCCCCTCCTCTCTCTAACTCTGACTTTAAAATAAATAAAATAAATCTTTAAAAAAAAAAACTGGGCCAGTCAATATGCAAGTGTCAGATCTGATAAGAGGAAAATCTTGGTTTATGTACAAGGAGCATATATAAAAAGTAAAATTGCAGGCTGGGTCCATTGAGGGAGCTCTGTCCTCTCTCTCCCGTTACTGAGATATGTGACCCAACTTCGGGTCTCAGACTTGACTTACATCCTTCGCATTTTGTTTTCGGATCATATTGTTTAATTTATTTTCGCCATTGTTCCACTGCTCATCCTCACCTGCGGGGAAATAGTGTCCCACCTACAGTTCCCTTGGTATTCAAATCCAATCTGTTGCTAGCGAGGATGTGGGGAAAAAGGCACACTAACCCACTGTTGGTGGGAATGCAAACTGGTAAAGCCACTATGGAAGTCAGTTTGGAGATTCCTCAGAAACCTGAATATAACCCTACCATTCAACCCAGCCATCCCACCCCTCAGAATCTACCCAAGGGAAATTAAATTGACAATTAAAGAGCTGTCTGCACTTCAGTGTTTATTGCAGCTCAATTCACAATAGCTAAAACATGGAATCAATCTAAATGCCCATCAACAAACGACTGGATAAAGAAATTAGGGGATACGTACTCTATAGAATACTACACAGTGGTAAAAAAAAAATAAAATCCGGTCATTTGCAATAAAATGGAGGAATCTGGAAAACATCATGAAATAAGCCAATCCCAAAGGGATAAATATCATATGTTCTCTCTGATCTGTGAAAATTAACTGAGCACCTAGAAGGAAACCTGTAGAAGTGAAACTGACACTGTAAGAGACAATGACTTCATCAGCCCTTGTCCTGACTGTCGAGGAACAACTTACTGTTTTATTCTTTTTTGTATTTTCTTTTTCTACTTAATACCATCGGTTGAACTCTTTAACACACAATTATTCTTTGTTGTTTAAATTTAACGGAAAAGTGATCCCTGTTAAAAATAAGAGTTGGGGCTGGCGCCGTGGCTCACTTGGCTAATCCTCCGCCTGTGGCACCGGCACACGGGGTTAAAGTCCTGGTTGGGGCTCCGGATTCTGTCCAGGTTGCTCCTCTTCCAGTCCAGCTGTCTTCTGTGGCCAG